TTCACTTTCCGAGAAAACCCGAAACAACCGATCAGAATACTGCGTTTGTCTACTTGAATAAGCTATAATAATGTATGTGAAATATATAAAACACGTGTTTATTTCCGTAAAAAACTATCAGTTGCCGGCCCTTGTTTTCTGATGTTAAAATACTGCCCCCACAGCTACTTGAGAGGCATCTGTGCACAGAACAGGAGATGCTTCGGGGTTGATGTGGGACAGCATAGTGACTTTGGATAAAGCCTCTTTAGCGTTGCGAAATTTGGTGTGCATATGCTGACTATTGAATTTTTTCAGGATCACTTTTAAGGAGATCGGTTAATGTTTGGACGATGTAGGCACACGAAGGAATAAAACGTCGATAGAAGTTAAACGTCCACAAGAAACGTTTGACTTTCTTGAGTGAATTTGGTTCGGGGAAATTTTTGATGGACTATATCTTTTCCTCCATAGGCCTAATACCATTTGCGGTTATGTAGTGTCCCAGAAACTGTGTGCAGGAGACACCGAATATACACCTTTTGGGGTTAATGGCGACGTCATATTGCTCAAATCACTGAAATAAGATGGTGAGGTGATCTGTATGTTCTTCAGACGACGAGCAGGCAGTTAAGACGTCAGCGATGTATACAAATACAAAATCTAAACCTTGTGTGACCTGATCCATGAAACATTGGAAGGACTGTGTGGCGTTCTTTAGACCGAACGGCATGCGCAGAAATTTAAACACACCAAAAGGTGTGATGATAGTTGTTTTTCCGAATCTTCTGGAGCAACTGGTATTTGACGATAGGCTCTGACCAAGTCTACTTTAGAAAAAATCGTTTTTCCATGTAATGTCAGGGAGAAATCATGTAGGTGGGGAATCGGATAACGGTCCGAAACTGTGGAGTTGTTTAAATGCCGATAATCCCCACATGGCCTCCAATCATGATCAGCTTTAGGCACCATGTGTAGGGGTGAAGGCCGAGGGCTATTGGAAGATCTCATGATGCCGAGCTACATCATGTGTTCGAATTCTGCCTTGGCTGCTGCCAACTCGTCATGAGGTAATCAACATGGACGAGCTCGAACAGTTTGACCAGTGGTAACAATCTTTTGAGTGATCGTATGAGGTACGTCCTCGATGTTATACGACGGTTTAAGTATTCTAGGGAAACGATGGAGTAGGGCGGGAAAAATGAAATCCGCTGGTCTTTCGATGCCGATATTATAGACAGAGTAATTGGAGACAATTCCATGAATTTTTAGTTGGGTGCTGTTATCAATCAGTTTTTTATTGTTGACATCAACTAACAGATTGAAATTACTTAAAAAATTAGCCCCGAGTATGGCATCACCCACGCTGGCCACTATGAAAATCCATGCAAGACGCTGACGTAAACCTAGGTCCACTATAAAGGATTGTTCCCCATACGTCTGTATGCTTGTGTGGTTGGCTGCCTGGAGAGACAGTTTTCCTGGCGTCCGTGCAGATCCCCAGGATAGTGAAGGAGGGATCATGCTAACTTCTGCTCCGGTGTCCACCAGGAATAAGGTGTATGTTATTTTGTCCTTAACGTAGAAAAGGCGACTTGTTTGCTTGCCAGCAACAGCTGTCGACATCATTGTCTGAGTGGGACGTTTCCCTACCTGGTTACCTTCACTAAAGACGCACGGTTTGACACATTTTAGGGCATGACGGCCGGAATTCCTATTATTATAATTACTGCTCCCTTGGGTTCCTAGTGGAACATAAAGCTTCAACTGCACGTCCCTACTTGCCACTTCTGTATTCTGCTGTACTTTTCACCTGCATCCATCCATGTTAGTCCATACTGTTTCAACTCGTCTCTCTTCACACGATCTCCTCCATGTCAGCCTTGCACTGACGTCCCACTCGCCGCTTCCCTTTCAGGTTCCACTCGAGGGCTTGACGCGTGATGTCACCCAGCGGTCTCCTCAGCGAATGTCCGATCCATCTCCACTTTCTCCTTCACATATGCTGGGCGATCGTTTCTTGTTTTGTTCGTTCCCATAGTTTCTTGTTGGTGATTCTTTCCGGCCGTCTGATCTTAAGTACAGAGCGAACTTCCCTTGATACCAACGTATATTACTGTCCCTAAAAGACATGTGGGAACGCTGTGGGGAGAGAGATCGTCGTCGTAATTGTGACCTCGTTTGTGAACTCCGTCTCTGGACGCGTCGATCAGACCTATTAGTTTCCAGCTTGTCAACCCTTGTCGCTAAGTCTGCAATGGCGGCGAGTATTGGTGACGACATTATAGGTATGAGAATAGTGGTGCCAAGGGGAGAGAGAATATGAGACCACAAAGAAAATCAAAATGAAAATACTAAATGGCAAAATAAGTATACGAATATGTCAAAATAATCCGTGTCCTAAACGGGCTCATTAATTAATTTGTAAGGGACTGTTAGGAGAGCTCACTGACATTACAAACACGCAAATAAAAATCGAAGTCTGTGAGATGATAGGGTAACAATATATTATCAATATATTATCATCAGGCCATCTGTTCTGAAACAGTGCGCCGAGGCTCTCTGTAGACCCCTGTGCGACTTGTTCCAACACTCAATGGATTCGGGGACCCTGCCAAGGGAGTGGAAAAGAGCCATCCTTTCTCCAATCTTCAAGGGTGGGGACAGGCAAAACGCTGCTAGCTATAGACCAGTAGCTCTACTCCCAGTGGTATCAAAAGTACTGGAAAGTATTATTGACGACCACATCAGGGAATATTTCGATAGGACTAATATACTGCATGAAGCCCAACATGGTTTCAGAAAAGGCAGATCCTGCGTCACTAACCTACTGTCAGCTTGGGACGACTGGACATCATGCTGGGACTTGAACGTACCAGTCCATGTGGTCTTCCTAGACTTTGAGAAGGCATTTGACACTGTTCACCATGACCTTCTCCTACATAAAATAAGTCAGGCAGGCATAGGTGAGCCACTTCTGTCATGGTTGAAGGACTACCTAGCCGACAGGCAATTTTGCACTAAGGTTAACCGAGTCCGATCATCTTGGCACAGATCGTCATCAGGAGTGTCGCAGGGTTCTATCCTAGGACCACTGATGTTTTTGATTTTCATCAATGATCTACCACGCCGTCTGAGCTGCCCGACTCTCCTGTACGCTGACGACGTAAAAATATGGAGGGCGATAAAGTGTCCGGAGGACTCAGATAGGCTACAGGAAGACCTAAACCTTCTGGAAGACTGGGCGGTGGCCAGTGGCATGACTTTCAACTTGAAAAAGTGCAAAGTAGTGAAGTTGCGCACCTGTAGACTGCAGAATGCAAGTTACACCCTGTGCAATGAAAGCTTGTCCTGCACAACGTCGGAACGCGACTTAGGTCTAGTTCTAACGGAAAAAATGGACACAAGCGTAAATTACACAGGGGATGTAGCGAGGGCATATGCGGTCATACACTTTACGCATAGACAGTTAGGTGCACTCACTCCTGAGCTCTTTCTAATGTTGTACAAAACATACGTCAGGCCACACCTTGAGGTGCATAATATTATTGCACCCCCAATGCTGAGAAGAGATGCCAACCTCTTGGAAAGAGTCCAACGACGGGCAACAAAAGGAGTGGTTGGTCTCCGAAACAAACCATATGATGAAAGGCTGAAGAAATTAGGCCTGTTCACACTTAGTTACCGTCGGCTTAGGGGGGATTTGATTACTGCCTACAAAATAACAAATGACCAGAATCACCCAAACAAAGGTGTTCTGCCATTGAGTAGGTATAGGCTTCCACGTGGAAATCCCAGAAGGATAGCTCACCAGAGGGCAAGGACCCGGGTGCGCTCCCACTTCTTTTCACTGCGGGTTTGTCGTCCCTGGAATTCCTTACCGGCAGATGTAGCTATGGCACCGTCTTTGGACGCCTTTAAGCGAAGGCTGGACAACCATGCAGCGATACAAGGACTGCATCCAAATGGCCTATCTCCTTAAAATCGCATTTACCAATCAGGGTAGATAATTAAACTCGTCATTTTACTTCTTTACATTCTCTCCCGTCTTACTCTCCTGACAACTTATTAATATTATAATTACTATTATTATTATTACTATTACCGATATATATATTATTCTTCAAACTTCATGAGCTGACTGTTGTTACGTTTCCTATTTTCGTTTCTGTCTCTTAGTCTGAATAGCTTCACTAATTATATCTATTATTATTATTATTATTTACTATTATTATTATTATTATTACTATCTCTTTTCTCTTGTCGACAATACCGAAGGACTAACTGGCGAAAGGATCAACTCCAATCACAGTAGTAACAGTCTTAACATACCTCATACTACAAACCACATATAATTAATCCCAGCACTACTCCCTTTGGAGTCAACCAAAGCTACGACAGTCGAGTGGCGGGACAAGCTACGCAGAAGTTTACCGAAGATCAAGAACCTATACCTCACAATCAAGAAGCGAGCACAAAGAAATCAAATTGGTTTATACTAGCTCGTAAAAACGATATTGGATATTGGATATTGGAAAATTGCAGTAATGCGTTATATTAATAAAAAGGTTATTTGGATATAATGTTAAAGTCCGCTGCTACAAATTATTGATATAATCCACGGGAGCGTTTACTGTTGGAATGGCGTCTGCTGGCAGATGCTGTGGACCGGTTGTAGAGTTGTCTTCGGATAAGGATAATAGACTCCTGCAATAAACCCAAAGTATATAACACGGTATGAATGGATCAAGTAAGCAGTAGTGGCCAGAGAGAAGGCGAAGCTTCCAACGGTATAGTGTATTTCGAATTGTACACGGAAGTTATATATATTTTAACATGAATCCTTTAAAACAAAAATCGTATACAATGTCTCTAATTTCTACAACTAACAAAAAGTGTACAATCATATTTTTACGTACTACATACTGTTTTTCTTCACACCAGTTCGGAACACCTTAGAGGACATTGCAGGAGAGTTTAAAAGCCAAGACGAAATCATATTGCTGTTGCTCACCGGTTCTCACGCCGAGTCATGAACTCTTGGAACCGACTGTCGAAGAAGTGTTGTCTGCAACCTCAACTGATTCAAGAACGGTTTGGACAATAACAGAAGTTTACTAGAAAGCGATGAATATCGGCTACAAGCCTCCTATCCCCAACTAATAAATGTGAATCTGAACTTTCCATGACCTTTTGACTAATATTTTACGTGTATCAGACACATCGAACAACTACCTTGTTTAAGGCCTTCTGTCACCTTCGTCATTGAGGACAGCGATATACTTTATGGAGTGCGGCTGTTTATACACGCCTAACCTATTCTCCCTTCCAGTCTGAAGACAGGTTAGTTGACTAGGAAAATTTGCTGATTGGTTATTGGCTGATTCCCCAGTCTTTCGAAGGTCATATCAGCGTTAATCCACCTTGGAGTACTATTTGAAATGTTTTCTTTTAGAAGGAAGTAGACATTAATAGTTGTTGAAATGAATGTCACGAATTTCTTCCACAGTTTACCGAAAATTGTATGTTGTTAAAATGACACACTTATGTCAGGAATTGCATGCTCACCTTTCAGGTAGTATCAGTAGGACGTTTCTGAAAAATGAAGTAACTGCTCATCAGGATATTCATAATATTCATTCGTGCTTTGATAATTGTTTGCGCGAAGGTGATCTTAAAGGGTAAATTTCGATGTTTATTCAAACTTTTTGCTTTTTTCGGTCAGTTGTTTTGACTTTTTTCGCACTACTCATAATCTAATTCAGACGCCGGAAATTTTGGAATCGGTAGGTGCCCACTTTTTGTTCTTCTTCGAGTTTAACGATTGGATAATGTATGACTGGGAGAAGACTTGTTTTTAGTGAATAATTTGTGTATGGGTTATGAGAAGCATTGTCCTTGGGATTTGTGCACTTGATTGTCCCCTAATAAATAATGTATCATCACGCACTTTCACCTAAGTCATGTTTTTCTAATAGTAATGGATGTTGCTGTTATTGATTCAGCTAGTAAAACTGAAAATATGTGACCTTCAGAACGCAAATTTTCTAATGTAATTGCTATAACTTACACTAATACTGAAGAATGAAATTATTACTATGTCCAATATCCAGTATCGTGTTTACGAGCTAGTATAAACCGATTGAATTTCTTTGTGGTCGCCTCTTGATTCTGAGGTATAGGTTCCTGATCTTCGGTAAACTCCAGTCACTCGACTGTCGTAGCTTTGGTTGACTACAAAATGAGTAGTGCTGGGATTAATTAGATGTTGTAGTATGAGGTATTTTAAGACTGTTGCTACTATGATTGGATTTGATTCTTTCACCAGTTAGCCCTTTAGTATCTTCGTCAAAAGAAAGATAATAATAATAGGTATGATTGGTGAAGTTATTCAGACTAAAAGACAAAAAGAAAAGCTGATTCAATTTGAAGTTTATATATATATATATATATATATATATATATATATATATATATTATCAGTAGTAATAATAATGTGTATTAGTTAAAGTTTTCAGGAGCGTAAGACGGGAGAGAATGTAAAGAATTAAAAAACGAATTTAGTTGTCTATCGCTGAATGGTGTATGGAATTTTAGGTGATAGGCAGTTTAGACGCATTCTTTACGTCTCTGCATGACTGTCCAACCTTCGCTTAAAGGTGTCCACAGACGGTGCCATAGCTACATCTGGCGGTAAGGAGTTTCAGGGACAGCAAACCCGCTGCGAAAAGAAGTGTGAGCTCAGCCGGGTCTTTGCCCGAGTGTCCATTAGTTTCTTCAAACACTTTTTTATTTATGAAGTGTTCAAGTGGGACAGTTTGTATGTAGTAGTAAATACATGAATCCGTTCATATATATATATATATATATATATATATATATATATATATATAGACGTAGTTGGTATTTTGAAACAAGACACTTAGAAGGCTGAGGATTATTTACAATTGTTTTACAGTCCTACTGATACCAGATAACGTCACACTAACTCTTAGGTCGATAATCTGCTATGTTACAGCATGTACTAGTTCGATACAACTATTTTTAGTCCACGTTTTCACATCACAATAGAGTCAAATGTCTGTTTCTCTTAACTTTCCTCAAGTGGGGATGCTTTGAACGGCAATAATCGCGTTAGGACGCTTTAAATAAATAAGCTTTAGTAGATAAAACGAATTTGGCTAACGTGGCGTTCGGTATTTTCGCTTTCCCTTAGTTAAATGAATTAGTTTCGAATTTTCCGTTGTATGACTGAACCACTGTTTTAACTTTCCAAAGTTCTATCTCCTTCTGGAAATCATTCAGTTCTCCTAACGAATAACTTCCAGTTTTCCATTATTTCCATTTTCTATTATTATTTCTGAAGTACAAACTTATCGGTATATTTTAACCCTCTGTATACAGTTCGGTAGCTATTAGTAGTGGTCAAAGGAGATTAAGGATGACATCGAAATAACCGAACGAGCATATAATCTGAAAAAGGTGTTTATTTTATTACAAGAGGTCGCCACCTTAATTTAGGAAGCGTTTTTTCATAGCAGCGTGAGCTTGAGTATGTTTTATGTAATAACAACTACAATTATAAGCAAGTGCTTGTAGCTTTTGATTTAGTTGGTGATGACATGTATGTAAGGAAGCTTTACTTCTGTCAGATGTTCCATATTGTTTTCGTTCAAATAAACTTAACTGAATATAGTTCTTATTATAATTAGAAACCCTTGTTTTCATATGCTTTAATGTAAATTTCCAAACGAAATAATATATAGTTAACACAAAAGCTATTAATCTCCGTCTTTCCCTCAAAAGGCAACAACTTCTGTCGTAGAAGAATTTCATCAGGATAATGTTATATATTTAGAATTGAGAACTACGTTGCGACCACTTCCTACTCATCGTTCTTATTTAAATGCTGTAATTAAAGGCATACAAAATGCTCCAAGTGTAATCGATGGAAAAATGTGTGTGACACTATTACTCTCTATAGATAGGTCAAAAAGTGTTGATGATGCATTAATCACCTTAAACTTGGCCAAAGAAAATCTTTCTAATGGATTAATATCTGGTCTTGATGTCAGCGGAAATCCGCAAGTAAGTTCAGATGTTTGTTCATATGATATTTATGTATTCTATTATTTAATATTGAAATGAAACCCAAATTAGTAATAATTTTCAGGGTTGTACAGAAGTTGTAAATTCCGCTTCTTGTGTTAGAACCCATTGTACACAAAGATGGAATAAAATGAGTGGCAAATGTTTAGTAAGCATTTATTAATTAAGCAGTCAGCAATGAAGTTAATTTGCCAACACAAGATATAATCCACATCAGATTCAGTGCTCATTAGTCTCCTTATGTTTCCACTGTTTCGTGGAATCCTCATTTTCGTGTAATATATTTACGTAGTATTCCCGAAATCCGAGGCCATTTATTTTTAGTCCCTATTCTCTTTTGCGAATATCCCGTGTCATATAACTAATTTTCTTAAGTGGAGGTATTTTAACTGTAATTTTTTAAGAAATACTGCAGATTCATGGTTGGATCTTTTGACTAAGAGTTTAAAATGAATTATATTCACAAAATGTGCAAATATTTACCATTGAAATGTCAGGCAGTTTACCAGTACCCAGCTATACGTTTTCTTCTCTCTTAATCCACATTTTGTTTGTAAAGTCATTTTGTATAACGCAAGAGCAATCGCGTTCGCAGAATAATATTTTAAGTGCTTAGGTCAATAATCTACTGCTAGCTGTGCATCGGTGGCACAGTGGTTAGGACTCTCGCCAACCTTGCACATGCTCCGAGGTTCGATCCCCTGCCGATGCACACCTGATATCTATGGTCTGCCTGCAAAATTTGGGTTACCGATATCCATGCTGAAAATAACATACTTGTACCAAAAATACAGTGTGGAATCAAGCTGTAATCAAAAATAAAAAAAATAGAATAAAAACACTACTTTGCCCATCGACTGATGATACAGTCTAAGCAGTTTCAGAAAACAATGAGCGGTTACTTTTCGACGATTTGTAGAAATATATTGTTCTGAGTTGGATATAAGGCTTCAGAAACACCACCATTTGATTCTGTTCTCTGCAGTTCTTTTTAGATGGCTGCAGGGTCGCTTGTAATTTTTCATCTTCTCTTCACACGATCATATAAATGTAACCCTCGGACGGTGAACTTGTCATTTCTCACTTAGGTTCCACTTGATGGTTTGCCTGGCGAATGCTGTCACTTAACGATCTCCTCGGCGTATGTCCGATTGATTTGTATTTCATTCTACGTATTTTTTGGGCAGCAGGTTTCTGGTTGGTTTGTTACCAGAGTTCTTTGTTGCTAATTCTTTCTAGTCGACCATTTGATCTTCAATACTTAGAATACTCTCCTTATCTACACAGTTTGAAAAGTCATCCATCTGAAAGTATTTATTATTAACTGGTTATTGATCATTATTTTATAGGTAGGAAATTTATGTGATTTCATTCCAATCCTAAATGCAGCTCATTTGTATGGTTTAAAAACAACTGTACACATTGCTGAAATAGCTGATCAAAGTGAAGATTGGTTAAGATTTCTAAAGAATCACTTACCAGATCGTTTGGGACACGGAACATTTTTAACGAATTCGGATGTAAATGCAACTGCGGCAAAAGAAGTTGTGCTCAATTCTCATATACCCTTAGGTTAGATTAATTTCTTAGAAGTACTTATACACTATTATATGTTTATAACTGTTACCTCCAGATATTCGTTTTTTAAGTTACTCTATCGTGTTGACCAAGATCACTTAAATCTTATATGGGTTTTTATAAGGCAAGTTGTCTTAAAAATATCTTGGTATATTCGTAAAAGAGTTATGTATCAACCAATAAGTGGAAAAAAATTAGTATTTTTAATTTCAGTCGTCGTCGATAACTATAACTGTAATCTAAATAACATACTTTGGACTAATTGAACACACACGTAATCAGGTTGTTGAACTATTCAGATATTCAAGCCACACCACCACATAAAAGTAGCAGCTGTTGGCCGGTCGTATTTCTGTTAATTATTAACCGGAATACAATAGGTAATTATCATGACTTAGTTGTCAGTGACCTGAAAAGTATTCAAAGTAGTAATTACTGATGTCTACCACACTGGAATGCCTTCCATCTGATGATTGTGGCATTTCACCACCAACTTACCATTAAACAAATAATTCGAGCTATCCATCAGAGCTCAATATGTTTAATAACGCTAATGTAAGCTATTGAAATCTCTATTCCAAGTTTTCATCTCTGTAATGCCTCAGATGGAAATGATGAAGGTATAACATAAAAACATTTTTTAAAATGCTTGTCTACTTTTCTAGTGTTCGTATGATACACTACTGAATGTAATATTTATAATTTTTTAAATTTTCCAACTAAAGAGTTATGCCTTACATCAAATATCAAATCAAAAACTGTTGAAACCTATGAATCTCATCACATCAATTATTGGATGAACAGAGAACATCCGGTCTGTATTTGTGTAAGTTTTTCACATGTTGATGATAGTTATAATCTCTAATTCGCTGAATAAATGTTAACTGTTGATGTAGGTGGCGTGTCAGTGTCCAATTGTAGGGATAATCGCCAACAAGGGTTTGATTTTCAGCCAACAAACTCTCTCAGGTGGTAGTAGCCTTGGTCAATAGACAAGGTTTGGTATGTGGGGCTAGCAATACTGTTTGGCATAAACAACACCACCATTGCTGAGATTTCAAGAATCAAGATTGAAGCCTTATGTTTAACTTGAAATGAAAAAGGAATTCGCATGTGTGTGTGTGCATGTGATAGCTGTTCACTCGGTTTCTTAGCATTGTCGTCTTAGTGTGTGTTATGAGACGAGATAGGGAGCTATGCAAATGAAGACAATAGTCTGAAACACAGATTTAAGGATGGCTTTTTCAGTAACGTAACATTCTCTATTGTTACTTTTATTTTCATCTCGAAACGAAAGATTAGTGACACTGAAATATACCACCTGATTAAAATAGCCATTAAGGAACTGAGTAAAACGAATACTCAGTAGTAAAAACGATGTAGGTAAAACTGCCCGGATATGATTAAAACTGTAGTGGAATTTGTTTCTCTGTTTCAAAGTGGTTGATTTAATATGAGAAAGCCAGCTAGATGACTCAGTGTGGATAAAATTTATTTTAATAAAGTCCCACAGTATAATACAATTATCTTCTGATGACGTTCCGAGTACAATTTATTGCTCATAATCATATCAAGTTACTCACACAACTTTCCAACTTCGTTAAGATGATTCAACTATTTCTCATCTCTTGACTTGATTGGTAGTAGTATTTTCCCTATCTCTAGTATTGGATTTGAGTCACTTCTATATTGCATGTGTTTGGTGTAGGCTCGATGAACCAGGATTCAGTAATCGATCTCTCTCTCCACCTACTCTCTTGTGTGGTTGTGCATTAATCCATGCAGTGCAGTTACTGAGCTTTTTTCTAAATTAATTATCTTCGCGGGGTCAATTATTCCAACCTTGGCTAAATTCGTATGTTCTGACAATCTGACTACACCCAATCTACTAGTTTGACCTATGTAGTTGACCTCACAGTCATTGCAAGGTGTTTTGTAAATTATATTATATTGTCTAATTGGGTCAACAGGGTCTTTTAGCCTACAGAATTTGTCCCTGAGTGAGTTTGTAGGTTTAAATGTCGCCCTATTTCCTACTTTATTAGGAATCCTACGTAGGGTCCCCTCCCTATATGCACGCATTAACACACAACCACACAACGGGGTGGAAGAGGTTATGTGTGTCCAAACCAAGCTCACTTTTAACGGTTTGAAAAAATTTGGACATTGGGTATATGATATTCATTATGATAAAGGTTTTTGTATTTCCCAATGAATGAAAAACAAAACGATACTGTTTTTCAAGTGTTGGTTTGTAGGGATTTGATTGGTTTACAAGATTTCATCATGAGCTGATATTGGTTAGAGAACCATTGGAAAACCTGGGAGTACTGGACAGCTGTTTCGTCCTAGTTTGGGACTCTTCAGCAGTACGCACCCACCGGGATTCGAGCTTGGGACCTTCTGGTTACAAGGCGAGCTCGTACACCATATTGTTTTTACTGACGTTTCGTTATTTAATGCTAATAGCTTTATCAAAGTATTATTAAACCGGAATTTACAAAATCTCAGCATATATTCAACAAAGAGTTAAGGGGTGAGAAAATAGACTTAGGTCAGGTTAGTGGGACATATTGAAAGTCAAAATAGCAATGAAGATCACTAAACTTAATATCAAAGGTAATAGTACATCTGTTATTATATCAAAACAAAGTTTACCAACTTGATCATCATTCGTTAGTCAGGGGTCCTTTTTTGTTGATAAAGATAACAAAATCCAGTGTAGATTGTTGGATTTGAACAGTGTGTAAAATTATAAAAGTAGTGTGTGTTTACATAGTGAACTTGCTTATCACATTCGTGTTGATTTTGTCACTTCATGGGGGAGGAAGGGGTTGTAACCAGGTCAGATTCTGTTTTAGTCCATTATTCTCATTCAGACAATTGGGATTCCACTTGATATGAAGTGCTTCTGATATTAAACGTTCTTTGTGATTTCTGAAGTTTTTCTAGATTTCTTCAATATTGTCAAAATCAATTTTGTGGCCTGATTCTATAGCGTGTAGACCTATGGCTGATGATTTTTCAAGCTTTTCTAGTTCAACTGGATTTATTTCTCGGTGGTCGAAGAGATGCTCTACGGTGTTCATTTCTTCTGACTTTGATTTCTCGAGATGTTTGTCGGATGTATATCGCATCACATTACAAGCATTTTATTTTATAGACACAATTAGATAGAGAATCTTTAGGGATTTGGTCTTATATGGACAAGGTTGATTTGAAGTGTGTTTGATGTTTTGAAGAAAACTAATGTTGAGCTGGTTGAGTACTCTTCTGATATCGTCTTACGTCTCTGCTCTATGTGGAATGACGACTGTTTATGTCCATGTCTTCGGAATGCGTTTTCGGCCATACTTAATGTCTGTGTTGATTTTGTTGACGAAGTTTTTTGGGTAATTGTTTTTCTTGAGAGTTTCAGTAATGTTTGATATTTCTTCTTCTTTTTCTTTCTCATCCGTTATCAGAGGGTGTGCTCGTCTAAAAAGACTTGAAACAAGTGTAATCTTTGCGCTGATGGGGTGTGATGATTTGAAGTCTAAATATTTACTGGAGTGGGTTTTCTTCCTGAATATGGATATACTAAAATGTCCGTTTTCCTTTCTCTTTACTAGGCAGTCTGGAAATGGTAGTTCACCGATGTCTGATTCTGCTTCCGAAGTGAACTAGATTCTGGGAGATATACAGTTTATTTTCTTTAGGAATGAATTGTGTAGATCTCGTTTTAGTACTACAAAAGTATCATCCACATATCTTAACCATATTTTAGGAGTGAGTATGCTTGAAAAGATGTTATTTTCGAATTTATTCATGAAAAGGTCGGCGTGGAAGAAAGTTAAAATTCTAAAAAGTAATATAGGTAGGTGGAGAGAGAGGTTGATTACTGAATCCTGCCTGGTTCATCGAGTCTACACCTAACACGTGCAATAGAAATGACTTGTCACTCATACCAGAATTATGGAAATTACTGCTACCAATCAAATCAAGAGATGAGAAATAGTTGAATCATATAAGCGATATTGGAAAGTTGTGTGAGTACCTTGATGTGATTATGAGCAATAAAGTCTGCTTAAAAGTCATCAGTAAATAGTACTGTGAGACTTTATCAAAATAAATTTTACCTAGAATAGAATTATTCTCTACTACAGTGCAAAATTTCTATTCTTATACCAGCTAGAGGTTATTTGAAACCAAAGAATACTTGACAGCTGTCTTCTCGTATTCTAGTGTAGTGTACATCGATTATCTCAGAATGGATTCAGCTTGTGTCCGTCTGGTTTGAGACGAGAAGATTATCATTGTATCATCAGGAATGGATGCGTCCGTTAATAACTTCCAAAATATTAGTGATTTTATTGCTGAATAAATTGCTGTACTCTTTGTTTAGTTTAATGTTTCCCACTCTTTTTTTTCTACTCTTCTATAGACTGATGACAAGGGCTTATTTGAATGTACGCTATCAGGAGAATACCAGTTAGCTGTTGAACGTTGTGGATTAAGTCAACAGCAAGTTTTTAAAATACTCGATAATTCTGTTGATATGACATTCTGTTCTGAAAATACCAAAAGCCAATTGTCAAGCAAAATAAAAGAATATTCCAATAGTTTCTTATCTGACTGTCAAGAATATAATTAATAACATTATTTTGATAAGGTCTGTACTCTTCATAACGCATAAATTTAGTAATTTGCAGGGGTTTTGGATTTTTCTGGGTACAACCATAGGGCAGAAAAGTGTTAACTAGACAACTTGTGATTTGAAAGTCTTTATAAGCATCCGATGGCGCACATACAAATCAAGGTTCAAGATGACAGTAAATAGGAAACCAACACATTGAAATAAATATTTAAACTTCCAGTCTGACTATCCAATAAGCAATGAAAGTTGCAGTAGCTCTAAATCTGCTAATTAAAGATTAAAAGAAACGAATGTAAGCTATTGAAGTAATAGAGAAGATTTGTAGCTCAGGTGGATAATTTGCAATTAATAGTTTTCTTTGACCTGGTTGGTTTAGTTGCGGAGCTTTCGTCGTTCTTCTGGACAACATCTTCAGCGCAATATTTAGCATAAAGTGAAATGATTTAAATTTCTTCATGAGTGATATAATTGAGTCTCCCGGTAACTATCTTTACATATGTATTAACCGTTTTCTGTTGATTTGGATTTTAAACTTATTAGTTGGCATATTTGGTCTATATTGACGTGTTTGTTATTTACATATTCGTTTGAGTACCAAGCTTCTAGGAATTCCCTGGCACTTTTCGTGTTTCCTCTAAGATTTTGACATTATCCCAATCAAAGTAATGTCCACAGTTGTCTATATGCATTGATATGAAAGAATACATATCGTGTCTTTTCACGGCTGATTTGTATTCTTGTATTCTGATTCGAAGGGGACGCCCATTTTGGCCTATGTAATGCCTGTTACAGTTCATACAATTTATTTTGTAAATAGTAGTAATTTTATCTCCTTTTTCTGTTGGATCTTTCGGTTTACACAATATCGAATGAAGTGATTGTGCTGGCTTGTGTGCTATATCTATATCAAACGGTTTCAGTATTCTAGCTGTTATTTCAGAGATATTTTGCATGTATGGTAGGATGCATTTTCTTGTGTTCTTTGATGATGGCCCCTTCTTGGCGTTGTGATTCGACTTTAAACATTTCTTGATGAAACTTTGTGGATAACCATTCTTTGTGAAGACCGTTTGTAGGTAGTTTTCTTCCATTCTTTTCAACTCTGGGGTGCTACAGTGTGTTTGAATTCTTTTAAAAAAAATGTCTGCCCACAATTTTTTTCGTGAGTACTTGGATTATTACTAGTATAGTTGAGTATTTGATCTGTGTGTGTGTGTGAGTTGATTTTCTATATACTTGTGTTTCTAAATTCCCTCCCTGTGTTGGTTCTCCTGATCAAGACATCTAAAAATGGGATTTTGTTATCTAATTCTTCTTCTCTTGTGAATTTGATGTCTTCAAATATGTTGTTTATCAATATATAGGTATATTCTAAATCATTTCGCTTTACGCTAAATATTGCTCTGAAGATTTTGTCCAGAAGGGGACGATGAAAGCTCTGCAACTAAACCAACCAGCTCAGAGAACACTATTAATTGCAAAACTGCAAGCTATGTCGCTGACATGGAGAAAACTATCTCCAAAGCATGACTTGTTTTAACTGAATATCGTAATGCAAATAAGTTTCTGAAAAAAATATATATTTTTAAACAACAATAATTGCAGGAAATAAAAGGGAGAATATTGAAATGATAGCTTTTCTAGATCGAAAAGACACTACAGAACAATTACAAAGAGTATTTATTGTATATAGTGTGATTAAAAATTGCTACAGTTCCAGATCAACCCAAAGCGAGCTTGTTAATGACCGTCAATCTTCCTAAAGAGGCAGGGAGGTTTTATAGGCAACTAAAACTCAGTTTGATAGGTTATCAGTCAGGATTCAACTAGTCAGATTCCACCATTGTCTGACACCAACTACTCGGTACGTTTAGTTTCCATAGTAAGTTTTGGATTATTATTGAAAATATGTATTTTTCGTTTGCTTGCTTGAAATGCAGGATCCAGGATTATTGCGTAAGCCTTGTGAATGACTGTTTTGAGTCAGAGAAATATATCAAGAGATTGTCGTTTGTTCATTGCCGCTAACTGTGTAAATAATAGTGGTCCCATCGACAATTATACACCTCATCCAACAGTTATACGACAATGCTGCATGCCAAGTAATCCACAACGGGAAACTTACGGAAGCCTTCGAAGTGAGGACGGGAGTGAGGCAAGGCTGTCTACTATCACCAATGATCTTCCTGATTGCAATTGATTGGATAATGCGACAGACAACGGCAACCAACTAGGGAACAGGCATAAAATGGACTGACACAAAAGACTTGGAGGATCTGGATTTCGCCGATGATATATGTCTGATTTCCCATAAACTGGAAGATATGCAAGTGAAAAGCAACAAGCTGGCAGAAGAAGCATCAAAGATAGGACTTCAAGTGAACATAGATAAAACAGAGATAATGAAGATTCCTAGCCAACATCAAAAAAAAAAAAAAAAAAAAAAGGGGACAAAAAAACCCTCCCGGGATCTCAAAGGGAGGAAAAAAAGAAAAAAAATTTTCTCTCAAATTGTGGGGACCCAAAAATTTCAAAAAACAAAAAAGGGTAAAAAAAAGTGCGAAAACGCAAGGGGGGGGAGGAAAAACAAATATTAGGTGTTAAAGTCCACCTGGAGCCTTCAAATTCTTTAACGAAATATTCAGTTGAAGTGAAAGGTATTCATTTCCTGAAATAACATAAAACAACTGTATTTAAGTGTTGGGTTGTAGGGATTTGATCGGTTACAAGATTTCACCATGAGCTGATATTGGTTAGAGAACCATTGGAAAACCTGGGAGTACTGGACAGCTGTTTCGTCCTAGTTTGGGACTCTTCATCAGTACACACCCACCGGGATTCGAACCCAGGACCTTCCGGTTACAAGGCGAGCTCGTATACCATCGAGCCATTGGGACCAGATCCAATGGCCCATGAATTCTAGCTTGTGCCAATTCACGACATAGCGCGACCCCTAGCCAGTGTCTTCGGCGAGTATTTGTCCTCACACCCGACCTGCTGCACCCTGCTGGTCACGACTTCTCACTGCTGCCATTGGATTGGGTCCCAGTGGCTCAATAGTATACGAGCTCGCCTTGTAACCAGAAGGTCCTTAGCTCGAATCCCGGTGGGTGCGTATTGCTGAAGAGTCCCAAACTAGGACGAAACAGCTGTCCAGTACTCCCAGGTTTTCCAATGGTCCTCTAACTGATGTCAGCTCATGATGAAATCTTGTAAACAACTGTATTTATTGGATGAAATGTTTGTAATGCTTTATTTGGAAAAGCAATGGGCTGGTTAAAGTCAAATTCAGTGAGTACAACCTATACAAACTACATCCGTCTAGAAAAGAAGCAAAATTAAATTCTTGTAAAAAAGATAGACTATAGCAAAAAATAAATCTATATACTACTGATTGATTAAGACAAGTAGTTTTAAATCACTCACATCAACCAGTAGTATTTGCTAGTCAGATGAAAGTGATTTAATCACTGGACAGTTGTTTCACTCGTTTAGGGTCAAGCACATCGATGGTGTACCCGAAATGTGACTGAAATCGGGTACAAGTAGCCAGCAATAAATTAGTCAGCAGTAAACTCAGAAAAAAAGAAATGGTTAGGTGTGAGGCTAGCAACCCATCGTCTGAAAACAACGTCACGCCTACCACTGAAACTTCAAAGCATAAATCCTGAAGTCCTGTATTTTACTCGGAATGCAAAAAAATGGAAATCAAAATACAACCTAATTTCTGCATGTCAGTATACTCATCATGAAACAATGAGTTACTGAACAGTTTATAATGGCGCAGTCAGTTATACATATTTCTTCGGAGTATCGATTGCCTTACAATTACTGTTACATAGTTGAACTTTAAAAGGATGACATTCTAACTGACTGATTTCGACATAGAACTTTGCAGAGAAAGAAGTGCAGCAGTTAGAGTTGCTACGTGTAATACATGTAACACACAAAGGAGAAGTAAAAACAGGTTCGGAAGAACGATGACAAGTAGTTGTACCAAGTAGAAAGAACAGTGTCACGGAAACACAATAGGATTCGATGAATATGGAAGGTTCCAAAGAATGAATACATCTTTATCAATGAGAGGGCTTCTGGGCTATACCACCAATAGTTTCCAGTCATTGGTTCTTAGAATCCCGATAACTCCAAGTAGGCAGTTTACAGATTCCTACTTGGCTTGAGCTAACCTTCAAACATTTCATGGATTGATTATAGGATTTCACGATAAGGTGAAATTGGTTAGAGAACCATTGGAAAATCTTGGAGTACTGGACAGCCGTCTTGTTCTAGTTTGGGCCTCATCGGTATTGCCCATTCACTGGGGTTTGAACCTGGCTCGTCTGCTTACGATGCGAGGTCGTAGATCATTTAGCTATTGGGACAGAATTCACTGGCCCATGAATTCTATCCCCTGCGAATCTGTGATGTTAGTACGACTACTAACCAGTGTCATTGGCGAGTATTTTCCCTCACACCCGGCCTGCTGTATATTTCATGGATTAATTCAAAATTTTGTTTTGACCACCACTAGCTTTTTTCAAACTGATCTTGTGTCAGGTAACATTGTTCGTTGAGGAAGGTGATCGTTAGGTATGCGTAATACATGCCCTAACCATCTTAACTGATGTAGCTTCAGAACCTCATAGACTGACTTTTACTTCTTACTTAACACTTTATGGTTATCCCCAATGATACTTACCATATTATACTGTGGTGAGAGCCGGCTGCTAGCCAAATTGGTAGACAGTATTTCTACGTCAATGTTTACGTCCCCATTATTAGTCGTGAGAAAAATATGAACAAAGACTGATTCAACAACCAACCACAGCAGACTTTGAATAGGCAGATACAGTTAGCATACAGATGATTTGACATTCAATAAACGGCTACAAAGAGATGAAAGATTAACTTTCAGTGAGAAACAACCAATCAGAAGACTGTGTTTTTCTGCTAACAATAATCTATAATAATGTACATGAAAATCTATAAATATGTATTGATTTCCTTAATAAACGATCTGTTGTCTGGCCCTTGTCTTCTGTTGTTACAATACCGCCTGACGCGGGAGATAGAACTCAGACAACTATAAATCAAAGACAATTAGGATTTTCATATCTTCCACTCCCTATGACCATGTCTCAGAACTGTCGGTCTAGGTAATTATCTTGCTGAAATTATAAAAGTTTGGTTATACTATATGTTATTCAACGTAATATTGTATAGAAAACTTTCTTCAAATTGTAATTATTTTATTTTTTTTCTCTCCACGTACTTTGTTTAATTCACAAATTCCCTACATATGTTAATCGAAAAAATAAGATTTATTTTAT